CCTGATTTAGCTCATCTTTATATGGTTTTAAAGATTAACATTCATGTTAAACAATATAACAATAAATTTAAAACAATTTCTATCAGTGTTTTTTCCTAGTTTCTTCTTCTTTTAGCCCTGTTAAAAAAAAGCAAATAAAAAAGAAAAGCCAAACAAAACCCGTGCTAACGGAAATTGCTGAACAATACCAGGAAATGTAACACACACATACACACACTCAATTACATGCCGCACACAACAAACGCAGCTGTACAAATACACAGACAGAGGCCAGGCGGCCACTGTGTTGGCAGCACAGCTCACATTACGTATACGCAGCGAATGCCCGAGTTGAGTTGACTTGCGGCATGTTGACAACACTTCGCAATTGGGTTAATTGTACATCGACGCGCTTTTCGACGAGTCCTCCACCCACGAAGAGTGTGTGTAAGCCAACTGCCTTTTTAAATGTGGGTCAATGCATTGGGTTAAACTGGGTCTGGAGAGCCGTATGGACTGTGTTTAATTTCTTTTTTTGTGTAAGTTTACTTTTCCAGTGATTATGTTTGTGCAGAGGAAACTTTATGCCTTGGAGAGTTTTAAATGATTTAAGTATCAATGTTAAAGAAAGGTGATCACAGTAAAGGTAATTAATTAAATTTAATTAAATAAAAATATTTGGAGCTTGAGTAGATAATTTATTAATTTTTTTGCATATTCAAAATTATATTATTCTATTACTATTATTTCTATTATTTTTATTACTATTACCTTTAATCCAGGACTGCGGTAGTCACTCTTCCCACCCATCCTAGACTTCTCTAGAATCTAGAGTCACTAGAGACGCTGATATTTTACCCACACGTGGTAGTTGTTTGGTTTAAGGCAAGTGCCATAAATATGCAAATCTATTACGTTATTTCTTTCACAGATTTTGTGATCGTAAAACGAGGCAAACCGAAAATATCCCCCAAGAAAATACTATAAGTGACTGAATACAAAATGAGGTCTGGTCTATATGGCTTGATTGACTCAATGGAAAGAAGTGTTTTCATAAAAGAGTGGTTTAGTTTGGTTTAAAGTGAAACATAAAAGGGTAATCTTTAAAGGAAACTCAGACAACGAGACTTAAATCAGTAGGAAAGTATAAATTAAGATTGATCTTAAAGAGACAATTATAACACAATTTGTATTTAAATTCTACAGAAACTGTCCCGCACCCAGTGGCCATTCCATTTATTAAACAATTATGTGACATTAAACATTTACTTAACCCATTACGCTCTGCAATTAAATGTTAATTAACATGTTGTTCTTGCCGCTGGCTCTTTTTGTTTGCCCTGCTCTTGTAATAATAATAAATTAAAATTCATTTAATAAGGTTGCAAATTTGCATAGTTAATGCATTCAAGCCAGGCCTGCATATAATCACACCCTTTGCCGCCTTTGTCTCCAAAGCTGAACCCCAATTAAGTAGCGGAAATCATTTTAAAAATATATATATAAAAAGCTGATTTTGCAAAAATAGCTTGAGCGGAGAGCTGAAAGGAAACGGGTTAAGGAGTGGAGGCTCTGGAGAGGGAAAACTGTTGCAATGGCATATGCTGCTTGTAATTTGCATCCTGCGCGTGCATGTAATTTAAAATGAATTAATGAACCGAGAAAATTTACAAAAGAAACAAACCAAAGGGGAATGAAGTGAGAAAATCGTTAAGCGGGGAACGGCGAGGTGCTGAGGGAACGTTTTTATTTGACACATAAATTACAGGCAGGAAGGAAGTTGCACTTGCGTTCAAGGCAACACGGGAAGTGCAAATAATTTGCAAGGCCTTTAATTAATTTTCTTAAAAGGACTGGGGACTTCTTTTGACAAATTTTGAGACTGTGTAAGTCTTGAAAATATATATTAAATATGAGAGAACATTTTATACAATTCAGAAATTAACATTTTTCCTTAATAGAAAACCTATACAGCCTGGGCTCTCCTTATTGCCACCAAACCCAGTGTCTTATATAGTCCATAAATGTTGTTAAACATTTCTTTTAGATACCATTAGGCCCCATAATTGTCGCTTAACTCCTTCGAACCAGCAGCTGACCAGCATTAAAAGTTTTTACTGTCCAGCTCTAATGGCTGTAAAAATATATATATAAGCGTCCTGCTAAAAAGGACCAAGAAAGAGAGACTTCTGTGTAGGCAAGCCAACATTTATGACGGCATTTTCATGCTCATATGAGCAATCCTTGCCTGATCTGCTGAAATTTTTAGCCTTTCAAATTTTATGGCCTGGCATTAAATTGACGCCAACTGGCGGAGAGAGAGGTTTCGCCTATATTAATTTGCTTCTCGGTTGAGAGAGAGAGAGAGAGAGGGTCCTTCTGCCTCCAGCTCCTGCTGCCACATCAATTTAATGTGCTTCAGCTAATTTGGTTTTTATTAAGAGATGCCCGAGCATTCGCCACCCAGACAGACTGCTGCAAAGGGGGCGTTAACTGGGAAGGCAGGGCGTGGCAGGATGGCAGATTGCATGTCCTGTCGAGATCCTGGCTCGCCTACCGTAGGCAAACAGGGTACACAGTATTTACAGTTCACAGTTTATTACGCTGTAAATAATGTAAATAAACAGAAAGGTAAATTGAAGAATATATACCAACCGACTCTACCCTGGACTTAAGTTAATAAAAAACCTTGAAAATTTATTAAGTGATAAAAAAAAGGTAACATAATATGGGTTATATTGTTTATGGAATTTAAAAGACTAAGAAACCTCTTTAAATATTCTTAAACTTATTTTATATTTTTTAAAAACAACAAAACTGTAGCTAGAACTTTCATTTTTACTCATAGAGCTTACTAACATTTTTAAAAACAATTATTAACTAATTTATTATTAGGGTATTACCTACTTCGAATACAAAAACCCTTTAAGAAAACCCTACAAAAAAAGGACGACAGCGACTGCAATTCAATCCCAGCCAGCATTCCTCGGCATTCTCCGTTTTCCACCTCCGCCCTCGGACACTACCTTATCCTTCTCTGCACGTTTTTTAATGCAGTTTCCGGACTTGCACCCGGTGCCGTGTTCTGCAGTTAAAACATTTAAAACGTGTATAAATCGGGAATTTATGGTAGGGAGCTAAAGCCAAAGTGGCTTTAAAAATTAACGGCATTAATAAACTGGGTAAGCTGCTTTAAGAGCAATAATAAATAAGGACAAACAAAATGACCGCAGTGGTTAATTAATAACATTAGCGGGATTAAAGAGTAAACTCCACTGAAAGGACTGTAATTGATTGATTATCCATCCAAGAGGAAAGTGTATAAAAGCATATTTAAATCGGATAAAGAAACACGTGATTTGGCACTCTGATGGGGATATATATACAAGTATTACATGACGCAACGTGATTTAATTTAAAGAATATATATATGCATTTGCACAGCTTCGATTGTTAATTTTTTGACTGAAATTCAGAAGGAATAAGAGCTGCACTCTTGTTGTTATTTTCTGTTGTTTCCTGTCCTTGTAACTATTGTTGTTTAAGCAGTTGTTCTGCAGCGATAAAGAGATAAAAGTCCCTGCCGCAGGATTCAGGGATCGATTGCAGCAGCAGGCTTGAATTGCCGACTTAAAAACGAATATATTTGTAGAGGAAAAATTTACATTTCAGAATTTTATACAAAAAAGTGGCGAGGTCAGGTTACAAAAACATTGAGTAGAGGTATTTATAGTAGAAAAAACTGATACATACTTTAAAGATAAATGACTTTGGGTTGTTTTATATATTTTTTTCAAAACATGAAAAGTTTAATCCAAGTTGCTTTTACCTATAAATATTTTAAATATATTTTAAAGTTGGTTTTTAAATATTAACTACACCATTTGACTATCTGTAAATTTAAAGAATTATAATATCTTCTAAAACAAATTTAATTCCATGCCTGTATATATTTTTCGATGTATATTATGTATTATTTTTCCCATTAATTAGGCATCACTCTTCCAGAAAATTAAATTAAATATAACTAATTACCCACATATTATCCTATTTCAATGCTAAATTAATGTAATATTCGAAGCGAACTGAAGAAATCATAATAATAATCCTCGAGGTATCAAGGCAACCCCCCTGTTCATCCCCTTGGAAACTGGCAAAAACAAAGGGGCCGCCAAATGGCTTATGGCTAATTATTTATTTGGAAAACAGAATGCATGGGAGAGCATTTCAATGCGTTGACGTCACAGAGACCGAATACAGCGAAAAGATTGCATTGACACTTTCATAAATCGACAGCTGACTTATTACCGATAATTGGTTTCGATTGTTATTGCCTGGCCATCGTATTTATTTATTTTCCTTCTCTACGCTCTCCATACAACGCTCCCAATTTGTTTATAAACAAATGCGCAGCAGACATAAAAGCAGGCCAAGCATTAAAAATAAAAATCCAAGAACGATGAACATGAAACGTTGGCTTCGAAATTGCGGGCATTAAAAAACCATTAACATAAAAAAACTAATATTAAATAATATAAACACCCTGACCGAGAGAAATAAAGGCAGCGGGGTGCCGCCTTTTAGTGCTATTATTGGAGGGATTTAATGTACATACACAAACGGCAGGCACTGTTCACTTAACAGAGAGAACAGCAAACAGGTAAGACCACCCACATGGCCATGTTAAGAGCTGGAAAGCCTTTTTTCGGAATCTGTTAACATTTCGGTTGCCGAAGTCCACGAAACCGAACTTCGGTCCAACAGCTGTTCGCCTGCTGCCTTTCAGCCACTCAGTGGGCCATCATCATCATCATCGCATTTGATGTTAGACAGCAATTTTCCTCGGCGGCTTCAGTCGTTGCCTGTCAACAAAGCGCTGCGAACGTGTCCAAATAGCCTGGTTCCTCGAAATAAAAATTGAGAAACTGGCAAAACGAACGCGTAATGGACTGAAGAACTTGTCTTGAATCAAGTGTTTGGTGGTTAAATAAATATAAAAAATATAAACATCTCTTGGTAGACTCTTATAAATTAACAAAAAGTTAATATTAGAAAAGTGTTTCCTCTAACTTTACAAATAATCTGAATAAATCACCGAGAAAATAAGGAAATTTTTGCCCTCCCAAGAAACGCAATTTTCTCAAGGTAAATATTATTTTCATCATATCTTTGCCATAAATCTCCCTTAAAATGAACTCTATGTTATGGAACTGCTCTCGTTCAGTGCATAAACACAAGTAACGGTTCCCCTAAGCCATAATACTGGAATAAAAAAAATGAAAATAATACAAAAACCCTGCCAAAGAATAAAACAAAAAGTGTCAAATTTATGCGAAGCGGTAAAAGACGACAGCCGGAAATTTATATGGCTTATGAGTTGAGTCGACTCGAGTTGAGACGAGTTGAGCAGGATGAAGCTGAAGGATGGAAGCCTTTCCATCTGCCGTCAGTCTCCAAGTGTGTCTGTGTGTGTGTGTTGTGTGTGTTTTAACCTCAAGGATTTTTTTATTTGCCTGCTGAAATGCGTTGAAATGGCAGAATTGCTGAATTGTTTTGCCTGTGTGGGTGTCAACTTGTTTGCTCTCGTAATTGTGTTGTAAACATATTTTGTATTCGCATTTTGGCCCTCTTCCTGTGGGCCCAATAAATTTGAGAATCGCCCGGGTTCTTTGACGGCAAAAATAACATTTCCAAGTTATGGTAATCACAGGATAGATAATAATTTTCTCACTTTATGAATATATTTGTCACTTGTTAAATTCTCATCATAAATTCTCTTAATATTCTTACCTTCTCTAAAAGCTATTTTCGTTTATTAAAGAATTTTTTCTTAAGTGTTTGCAATCATCTTTAAAACAAAGTTAATAATTTAACAAACTGCTGACTTTTATGCTCTTAAAAAGTGTAAAATCATTTGTACAGTGGCAGTTATCAAAGCCATAACTTTAAAGTCAGGACATTAACATTTATTACTTTGTGAATTTATGAGAAAGAGCATACTTTCAAAAGCCTCGTAAAGATATTTGAATTTCCATTAAAAAAAAGAGCTTCCTCAAAGGTAAATAATGTTCAGAAAAATTAATAAACTTGGTAGTTTTCAAAGGAAACAAATTTAAAGTAAACTTGTTTAAAAAACGTATTTATTTATTGAAAGAAATTTCTCTTGCAAGAATTTAAATTGTAATATCCCAAGATATTTCTATTAAATCCAAATCATAAAATATTTCTTCCAATTATCCCACTCTCCTTGAATTATTAATTACGTCTGAGCTTGAGCCTGGAGCTTCGAAAAAAATCTTCTTAAATCAAAATATCCCCAAATCGCATAATATTAAAGCGCACATTTTCCGCAGGAAAAGAAGAAAAAGTGAAGATAAGCGAATCCTCAAAGTCCTAGGCAAGTGGCATTGTTGCTTTTGTGACAAAGAATGACGAAGGCGGAGAAGAGAAAGCAAGTCGAGGAGTGGCCAAGGCGCATATATAAAATGTCATAAAAGTCCCACACATACAGTGCGTGTCATAAAATACTTTCATTAAGGGCAGTCAAAGGAGGAATGAGTCAATAACCAAAAAATACCAATTTGGTTAATAATAAAATGAAATGTTTAAATTAAATAAATATCTAAATATATAAGATATTTCTTAAGAAATATTGAAAGATTCCGTAAAAATATTTTATTTTGAAAAAATAGTCTTTAATTTTATTATTTTTGTTAAGATTTCTTTACCATTTCATATACTTTTGTCGCTCACTGTTCCCCTATGCATTATGTAGGCGGCTGGCGTATATTGGCAGGCCAGGGCTTTATGTGCCAACGAAATGGTTCGCCAAATTTGTCAAAGGACCAGGAGTGAGGGGGGGAATCCCCTGTATGTGCCACTGCTCCCATAAATGCTGCTGGAATTCCGTATCCTTACTGCCGATGCTTAAAACCGGCAACTACAAGTGCAACTGCTAGTGCCAGTTCCTCTGCAGGGGCTGTCACTGTAAAATGCAGCATACTTCCAGGGGCAAGCTGCCAAATATCTTACTCTGAAAGGCATTTTTCCGTAGGGGAAAAAGCCTCAAATGTGCGGTAGTTTTCCCTTCAGCTGCAGGACAAAAAAGAAAAAAGAAAACTAAATTAATAAACGCCTAGTGAAAAAGAGGGTGCCAGCCACTGCTGGCTTGTACTTGGGCTGTGGGGGAGCCAGGGCAGCCCGTCTTTGGAGACCGCAAACTCCATGCAGATAATTAAATGTAATTACATAATGTGTTTGTATTTGTGACCCTTCTGCGTTCATCTACGTGTCTGTGTTGTAGTCGCTTGATTGTGTGAGTAATTACGTGCTTATGGGCAACAACAACTAGCCGGGAATAAACCCATTGTACAAACAATATAGTGACTATCTAGAGGTGCCACAACAGCGATAAGTCGAGATTCTAATGCCCTAAGTTTTAGAGAATTTAAATAAAATAATACCAAATTATTATCAGGTTTTTAATATAATTAAAAAAATGTATTTACCATATGCTCTCCTCCACTTTTTGTAGTCCAAAAATAATAAAATTTCCCAGCCCGTAATTTTACTTATTAAATAACCATAATTCCCTTAAATACACTTCACATTAAAATGACAAATATACTTTAACGACCTTATAATTCTGCTTAAATCGGAAAACAAAAATAATCCTGGGGGAAAATAAGAAAGAAAAACAAATAAAGTTCATCAGAAATTCACAGAGAATGAAAGTGTAATTAAATTGCAGCAACAATCTGGCCGCAAGTATCTGTGTATGAGTAAATATATATCTATACTACGGCGTAATGTGCTTCTGTTATTTGATAAGAGCTTATAACGATGACGCGGACGTTAGGTCTGGCCAACGCTTGAAGGCTCCACGCGGCGGAGTCAATAAAATGTAATTAAATCGACATTGTTATCAGTGGCACACCAACAAATAACACAAACACATTGACAATATATCTGCATTAATTTCAATGAAAACAAATAAGTAAGAGTTTAGATATTACGACTAGAAGATACCCGATTTTAGAGTTTAAATATATAGAAAAAATAAAACTAAGATGGGAAAAATATCTTATTTTATATACAATTATTTATTAATTTGTTGGTTTAAAATTTTTCATATTAAGCTAGCTAATGTATTCTGATAAATTAATAAATTGGCTTTCCAAAAAAATATTTTTTTTTACATTTTACATATTTTTAAAACCTTATATATATATTTTTATAGGGTAAACCTGTGGAGTATATCAAAGAACCTCATTCCCTGATAGTAATATTTGGTCTACTGTTTCTATTGATATTTCTATTGCTGTTTCTGTTGCCTTAATTGTTGTTATTGCTTGTGTGAAACAACGCAAATAATAATACAGTGTCTGACCTTGTTAAATTAAATGAAATGTAATAAAGTCTTTGATGGGTTTTGACCCACTTAAACAGACACAAACTGAACTGCTAAAATTCGATTAGAATTCCCAATTGAATTTAGATTGAACTTTAAAGTACAAGCATTTTTAATACCATTTACTTTACCTTGAAATCAAGCTGAGCTTCTAACAGTTCAATTTCAAAGCAAAACAATGGGAGAAATCCACATAAAATAAGAAGAGCAAAAATTTGGCAATGCAAACTTTCCTTAAACTCTTATAAATCTATTAAAAGTTTTACCATACAAAAAAAAAACCCCCTTAAGAAAGTTCCCTCACTTCAAAAGGTTACCAGAAGCAGATAATGAGCTCAAAAATTGAGCTAAATTGTGAAAAGGAAAAGTTGGCCAGCCGCAGCCGAAACCAAATTAATTTCTCAGTGAATTCATCAATGGGGGGGAATCGAATAAAATTTCCAAACTAATTGTGCCAGGGGAAAACTGTAAAAATAAAGTAAAAACGAAACGGACAAACGGAAACAAAATGTGAAAAGTTTTTTAGGAGGGGAAAAAAGCAAATAAAGTTGGCAATAGAAAATAAGGGGCAGTTTTGCCCCCCTGAAAATGGGGTCAAGCGGTACTCTCTATTGAAATTTCGTTCACGACCTTTTAAGTTGTTTATCGCCACTTGAACTGGCCTCTAACTATATCTTCACCTCTTTGTGAAGCGCTTCCCCCTTTGATTTATAATTTTGTGGGGTTCTTTTGGGGCATTGAAATTTATCAAGTGCTATCATTTGGCCTTTCCTCAAACGGTTTTAATTGAAATTTCTGCCAAAGGTGCGGCCCGAAAGCTGTTGAAAAAGAGAGAAAACAGGAGAAAAAGGGATCAAGAACAGCAAAATGGTCTCAGTGAAACGTAATGAAATTACAAGTTTTTCCTGCTTGAAAATTTGATAATTTAAATGAGCAGGCAATGGCAGGGTTTTACCATTAAATTTAATACTTAATTAAACTCTGTTTAAGTGGCAAATCTATCTGTATTCTTAAATAGGAAAACTGTAAGTAAAACCATTTAATTCTGCGGCTGCCATCAATCAGGTGAAGTGACGAGGACGAACCTCAATGGCGGAGCACCTCAATTACATTTTGCAATTACCCAAGCTGGGTCAATCCCCAGTCCTTCACATGTAAAGATGTATGTGCAACCTCCTCTTTCCCTCTCTCAACAAAAAAAAAAAAGAAGCTCTTTACCTTGCCACCAAAAGGTATCATCTTAACAGAGCTCCCTCCACATACGTTCACCTGCTTTTTTCCTCCTTCCTCGCTCATTTCAGTGTTTCTCTGGTTGGACTTGCAGTTGGTTTGTGCCACTGCCTCTTCGACTGTCCATTGCATAATTCAGTCGAGTCCATCTTCTTTTCCACCCGCCCTTTCCTCGACGAAATACTGATTCGGACTCATACGTCAGTTCATCAAGGGGTCCTCCCAGTTGTAGTTTGGCAGTCCATCTGAGCCTTGCCGCTTCAGGTGAACGTGGCACTGCGTTTTTGCGGCAGTTTCATTACCAAATTGAGTCGTAGAAATGGTACCCTTACTGCCTATCAGAAGATTTAAATTCCCAAACATAGGTAGCTACCATTAAAGCCCCAAAATGTTGGCATTAGCTGATTCACTGGCCCTGTCATTTCAATTAGAGCAGAGTTACAACAGTTTTTCGAAAAAATACACAAGGGGAAAACTAAATAATTTGGAAAAACAATAAAGAATT